ACCTCACACAGCCTACACACCTCACACAGCCTGTATACCTCACACAGCCTACACACCTCACACAGCCTGTATACCTCACACAGCCTACACACCTCACACAGCCTACACACCTCACACAGCCTACACACTTCACACTGCCAGTACCCTTCATACTGCCTGTACATTTCACACAGCCTGTACACTTCACAATCTACCCACTTAATACAGCCGACACACTTCACAGTGCTTACACACTTCATGCAGACCGCATACTGCCTGCACACTACATGCAGGCTGTACACTACATACAACCTACATACTACACACACCCTGCAAATTTCATACAGCCTGTACACTGCATATTGCCTTCATACTTCACGCTACCTGTACACTTCACACTGCATGTACATTTCACACTGTACACTACACACTGCATGTACGCTTTACACTGTATGTGCACTACACATTGCATGTACACTTCACAATGTCTGTACATGTCATACAGACAACACTTCATACTCCCTCCCTGGTTTACATACAGCGCTTGCTGTGTCATATACTTGCAGCCCTTGTCTCTTTGCACTACTGGGAATCCATTACTCTGTCACAGTAGCAGTTCTGTTCCAAATGTTTCCCTCTGGTAAGATAGTGGAAATGAAATCATCAAATGAAGGGCCTCTGTCAGCTTCCTGCTGCATTGTGAATAGCTAACTGAAAAATGTTGCTATGCTGTTGTCACCATCTGTAGAACTTGAAGACAACAGGTATCATTGTGGCCACTGGCGGTATTGCCCTCATTCTGCTATGAAGTTCTGGGCTGTGTTGAGGAAAGTTGCACACTTCAGTGGCCATCTCCTTGACGAATCTGAGGGAGGAGAAATGTTCCCTGAAAACATTTTGGACTTTCTGTGGAAAGCTCACTTCCTCCTCCCTCTCTGAAGCCTGTACTCCATCCTCATGTGGTTTTGCAACCCACCAGGACAGCAACCATCACCCCATAACTCTCAAAGACTAGGCACTGATAGAGCAGGCACCTCCCTGTCAGGAAGCAGCAACATTGTCTTCAAAAACAAGTAATCAGCAAAACATCTCCAACCACATGCCACAGTGTCTCCAAAAGCATTGTCAGAACAAAGCCAAGTCAGACATACTTCACTTGCAAGTTGGATGATTCACTCTTTAAATAAAGCCAGTCTGTGATCCCTTAACCAGAATGGTTAGCTGGAAATATTTAGACCACAGAAGGCACTGGAGCTTTATACTCCAAATTGGCAGATGTGTATCTAAGACATGTGAAGAGATTGCTTGATGGCACAACCTGCTCAGTCTGAAATTTCTAGCACACACACACCCTCACGCTCTTACGAGCATTGGCATGTTGTGCAAGCTCCACCAGAAATAGTGCACCTCCATTGGCAGCAACTTGAGCTCCTATGGCACAAACTCGAGGTGTGCTTCAAAGCTGGATTTTTGGCCTCCATTTCTAAACATTGAAGCAAGGAATCTGAACAAAATAGATTGTGCAAGTGCAACAACAACTTGAATTGAAGGGGATTGTTTCTACTGTAGTTTTTTTAATTCATTCACGGGATGTGGACATCACCTGCTGGGCCAGCATTTGTTGCCCATCCTTAGTGCATCCAAGTTTACTGAAGTTGGAAAACTAGGTGAGAAAGCAAGCTGTGAAGGTAACACAAAGAGGTTTCAAAGAAAAATCAGGAGGTTAAATCTGTGGGAAGAACTTGGCAAATGGAATATAATGTCCACTTGTGTAGGAATAGTAGAGGAGTAGGATATTCCTTAACTGGTGAGATTCTGGGAAATGTCAGGATTCAAGGGACCTTGTATATTAATTGCAAAAAGTGAATATGCAGGTATAGCAAGTAGTTAGAAAGCAAATGGTATGTTTGGCTTTATTACAACTAAATTCAAGTTAGATAACTAGATAATTAGAATTAGATTCAGGGAAGGTTCCTGTAGATTGGAAAATAACTAAAGTAATTCCTTTATTCAAAAAAGGAGAGACGCAAAAAGCTAGAAAGTACAGGCCAGTTAGCTATACATCTGTCATGGGGAAAATGTTATAGATGCTATCATTAAACAGGTTATAACCGGGCACACGGTCAAGTTTAAGGTAATCAGGCAGAGTCAACATCGTTTTGTCAATGGGTAATCATGTTTAACTAATTTATTGGAGTTTCTTGAACAAGTAACTTATGTGATAGATAAAGGGGAACCAGTGAATATACTGTACTTAGATCAATGAAGGTATTTGATAATGTGCCACATGAAAGGTTATTGCGGAAATTAAAAGCTCATGGTGTATGGGCCAACATAGTGTCACAGATAGAGGACTGGCTGGCTAACAGGAAGGAGAGAGTAGAAATTAATGGGTCTTCCTAGGTTGGCAGGATGTCACAAGTGGTGTGCAACACAGGTTGGTGCTGGAGTCTTAACGCTTTACAATTTAGATAAAAGATTTGGATGAAGGGACCAAAGGTATGGTCGCTAAATATGTTGACAATACAAAGGTAGGGAGGAAATTGAGTTGTGAGGAGGACATAGGAGCTTACAAATGGGTACAGATCGGTTAAGAGAGTGGGCAAAGATCTGGCAAATGGAGTACAATGTGAGTAAGTGTGAGATTGTCCATTTTGGCAGAAAGAATAAAAAAGAATATTATCTAAATAGAGAAAAGTTGCAGAACTCTGGGATACAGAAAGATCTGGTGTCCTAGTACATTAATCACAGGTTAGTTTGTAGGTACAGCAAGTAATAAGGAAAGCTCATAGAATGTTATGTTTTATTGTGAAAGGAATTGAATGCATGAGTAAGGAGATTATGCTTCAGTTATACAGGGCTTTGGTGATACCACATCTGGAGTACTGTGTTCAGTGGTCACTGTACTTACATAAGGATGCTAATGCATTGGAAGCAGTTCAGAGAAGGTTTACTAGACTAATACCTGGCATGACAGGATTGTCTATGAGGAAAGGCTACACAGGCCAGGCCTCTATCCTCTGGAATTTAGAAGAGTCAGAGATGACTTATTCAAAACATATAAGATCCTGAGGGGACCAGAAGGATGCTGAAAGGATGTTTCCTCTTGTGGGAAAATCTAGAACAAGGAGTCACAGTTTAAAAATAAGAGAGCACCCATTTAAAACAGATGTGGAAACATTATTTTTCTCAAAAGATTGAGAGTTTTTTGCTGTCCTTTCTTCAAAAGCAGTGGATTCAGAATCTTTAAATATTTTTAAAGCAGCCATAGATTATTGAATACCAAGGAAGTGAATGATAATTGGCGATATGCAGGAATGTAGGATTAAGGCTAAAATCAGAACAGCCATGATCTTATTGAATAAAGGAGCAGGCTTGAACAGACGAATAGCCTACTCCTGTTCCTTGTTCATATAAGAGTAAAGGAATCTAACTGCAATTATATAGGGACATGTTGAGCCCAGACCTGAACTTGTGTGTACGGTTTTGGTCTCCTTATTGAAGGAAGGATATACTAGCCTTGGGAAAAGTTAACAAAGGTTTCACAACTGATTCCTGGAATGATGAGAGATTGAGTAAACTAGGCCTACATTCCCTAGAGGTATTCTCTTTAAAGCATAAAATTCTGAAGGAATTTGATAAGGTAAAAAGTAGGAGAATGTTTCCACTGGCTCACAGATCTATAATATGTAGTTGCAGTTTCAGAATAAGGGGTTGACCATTTAGGACTGAGAAGGAGAAACATTTCTTCACTCAAAACGTTGTAAATGTTTGAATTCTCTGCTATAATTGCTTACTGTATAAGTATGTTTAAACCAGAGACTGATAGATTCTTGAAATCTAAAGCAATTTGGAATACGAGAATAATTTGGGAAGGTACATTTCAGGTAGAAAATCAGTCTTGATCTTATTGAATGGCAGAGGTGAATGATCTGCTCCTGATCATATTTCACGTCATTATTATGTCTTCATTCAGTTTACTCCATATTACAGTTTAAAAGTGTTGCATTCATCCTGAGCCAAAAATCATTTGACAATACATTTCATTTACTTAATTCATGCTCATTCCTTTGACATTTTTCTTTTAGAAGTCATAAGCCTTGAATTTGCATTATATGAAAATGGCTATAAAATATGAATATTTTGGCTGTTATTTTAACAGATGCATTGATTGATTTATCTGTTTATTTTAAATTCCTATGACAATCTTCACACAGTGTCACTTCAAGGCCATATGTTCCTGTTCTAGTGCTGATTGACAGACTTCTTAAAATTGATCATAGTCTGCTCACGAGACCCCAGAGATTCCATTCTATCTAAATTATGAATGCTGTCATTTCAATTTCCTCTTTTTTTGCTGTGAACTGACAGCAGGGGTCTAGTTGGAGGTCAGCCATCATTAGATTAATGTCTCTGCCATCTCCTCGAGTCCATGTCCACATCAAGTTCAGGACTGAATGCATGTTCTTTGGACATTGTATAAACCACACCATTTTGACACTGACTTCATGACCTACCCCAAATGATCAATCAGTCAGTTACACAATGAAGACCAACATTTTCTGTTTGATACTGATCTACGATTTGAAACTCATATCTGGTTTCCCACTAGGATTTCTTATTTTTACTTCCACATTGCTCACCCATACCACTCCCTCATTGGACTATTGCTAAAAATCCCATCTGTGCAGCCCTCACCTACAGGCTCAACAACTCTAAGCTGCAACTCACTAATTTCTCAACCTCCCCCACCCCACTTAAGCTACAACTTGCTTAGTGTTCCACCACATACTCTCTATCCTACACTCAATCCAACTTTCCATTCCCTCCAATCTAATTTCCAATACATTTGAGTCAAAATCTTTGTGCTTCTCTTAAAATTAACTCTTCATAGTCTTGTTCTTTTCTATCCTGCAACTTTCTGAAGGTCTATTTGTCAACTTTTGCCCTTAAACTTGGCCTCCTATAGCTCCCACCTCTGTCTGCTCAAAGCTTTAGTGGCTAAGAAGAGCACTCTTCCTTAACCAATCATTTTGCTACCTCCTCCTCTTCAAGGCCTCCACAGACCCTTTTACAGTGATCAGACCTTTTTCTTCTAAATCTTTTCTTTCAATGTAGACCATTCAGAGGTGGCTTTCTTGTAAGTGAATGAGAAGACAATGAGAAAACCCCAGTCCAATAACCAAATGTACTGTCTAGGCTGCCATTATAGTGCGGGACTGACAGATACTGCACTCTTAGTGGCACGATCTTTGGCTGGAATGTTAATAGAGACACTCAACTTTTACAGCTGGATGTAAATGATTCCATGGTGCTATTATAAGATGAGCAGGAAGATTTTTCCTTAATCAACACCGCCATAAAAGATTGAGTGGTTATTCATCTTATTGTTATTTATGGAACCTTGTGGAGCACAAAATAATTGCCACACTTGACTACAAACTTCAAAACTAATTAGAGATAGTAGGAACTGCAGATGCTGGAGAATCCGAGACAACAAGGTGTTCACCTGCACATCTGCTAATGTGGTATACTGCATCCGCTGTACCCGGTGTGGCTTCCTCTACATCGGGGAAACCAAGCGGAGGCTCGGGGACCGCTTTGCAGAACACCTATGCTCGGTTCGCAATAAACAACTGCACCTCCCAGTCGCGAACCATTTCAACTCCCCCTCCCATTCCTCAGACGACATGTCCATCCTGGGCCTCCTGCAGTGCCACAACGATGCCACCCAAAGGTTGCAGGAACAGCAACTCATATTCCGCTTGGGAACCCTGCAGCCCAATGGTATCAATGTGGATTTCACAAGTTTCAAAATCTCCCCTCCCCCTACCACATCCCAAAACCAGTCCAGCTCGTCCCTGCCTCCCTAACCTGTTCTTCCTCCCACCTATCCCCTCCTCCCACCTCAAGCCGCACCTCCATCTCCCACCAACCAACCTCATCCCGCCCCCTTGACCTGTCCGTCCTCCCTGGACTGACCTATCCCCTTTCTAACTCCCCACCTACACTCACCTTTACTGGCCCCATCCCCGCCTCTTCGACCTGTTTGTTTCCTCTCCACCTATCCTCTCCTCTATCCATCTTCTATCCGCCTCCCACTCTCTCCCTATTTATTTCAGAACCCCCTTCCCCTCCCCCTTTTCTGATGAAGGGTCTAGGCCCGAAACGTCAGCCTCTCTGCTCCTATGATGCTGCTTGGCCTGCTGTGTTCATCCAGCCCTGTACCTTGTTGTCTCAAAACTAATTAATTGGCTCTATAACACTTTCAGACAACCTGAGAATATGAACAACACTTATCGAATTCGTAGTTCCTTCATTCTCTTCACTCACTGTGAAATGTTTCGGTATTTTTCATCAAGCTTAAAGATAAGCATTTATCAATCTGTGATTGAGAGGTTATCGAGATGGAAGGAAATCAGGGGGTATTGTGATTTGGTGGGAAAGTAAATTTGAGGCCATTGTGTAATTGGCGAGACATCAAATCTGCTTCCTTAGCTCACAGAAAATCGTCATTATAATTGACTGTTCCTCCTGTTATGGACTGCATCGTAAAATAAACATGTTGAATGAAAAATGCCCACCCGCGCCATGACCCCCACCTTCAATAGTATGTTCAATCACTACCTTTATCTATCACACAATCTAACCACATTAATGATATTGTGCAGCCCACAGCACTTCTCACTCTGACTACTCATTCTCCCTGCAGGTGTCGTCAGAGCCTCCAGTATATTCCCGATACTGAGTGTGGGATTACTATTTCTTGGAGGTGTCTGTGTTGCAGCTGGTGAATTCTACAAGAGCAAGCACAATGTTGTCCTCAGCTCTGGGATTTTTTTTGTAGCAGCAGGTTGGTCATTTAAAACTATTTGCCTGACTTTCAGCCAAAATTTCCCAAACAATTTTGACTCTGAACTTTACAACGATTTATTTAACAAGATCGATTCTCAAAATTCCATGGAAAAGTGATGCAGCGGATCAGATACTGTCCTCTCATACTTTGGAACTGGTTCAGTTCATCACAACTTCCTTTTTATCTCACACCCCTGTTTATGAAATCCAGCTGTTTTTAGCCTTTGGTTCCATTTATCTGTATTTTCAGGGAATGATGCACTTGATTACTTTGTTCATCCAGGCTGCTTTTCTATTGAATGTAGACAGACATTCAACCATTCTCTAGCCCAACTTCCATTTCTCCCAAATTTTCTTGTGCATCATTAAGCTGTCGAACCCCTCTTTATTATGAAACTCTGTAAAAACAGCTTTTCAGTTCCACCTGACTCACCACACAGGCTGACAAGATGCTAGTCTTTGCTTAGTGCGTAGCTCTCTATTGCCTCTGGACCAGGATGTGGATTCAATTCCCACTCTGGGCCCTGTGGCACATGGTCCAGGCTGACACTTCAGGTCAGTACGTTAACAAGACGTGCCATCTTAGAATGATTCTGCTGCACTAATATAAAGAACAGGCACTTTTTCCACTATCCAATATTAACTCCTCAATAAATACAAACATTTTTAAAATATAATTATCTCACTATTTTCGTGGGATTATGTCTGTAACTTGTCAAACACGTTGCAATAGCAACTCACTTTTAACCAACTGTGGAACCTCCTGTGGGGGTGAAAGTTCTACACAAAAGTGGGTTGTTCCTCTCCTAAGGAGTTGACCTCAACAGTTTCGGTTGCTATGCATTTTGTCATTGTCTTGTTCCTATCCAAGTTGCATATCACGATGACGTCCATTCCTCCTCTTCTCAGGTTTGAGCAACATCATTGGAATCATTGTCTACATATCAGCTAATGCTGGAGATCCTGGGCAAAGCGATTCCAAAAAGAACAATTACTCTTACGGATGGTCCTTCTACTTCGGGGCCCTGTCGTTCATCATCGCTGAGACGGTCGGGGTGTTGGCTGTGCACATGTATATCGACAAACACCGACAGCTCAGAGTCAAGTCACGCAGCGAAGTGCTGAAGAAGTCGACACTCGCGCGGATCCCCAGCTACAGATACCGATTCCGGCGAAGGTCGAGTTCCCGATCCACGGAGCCTCGGTCCAGGGAGCCGTCTCCGGCCAGGGCTAAAGCCTACAGTGTCCCACCGCCCGGAGAGATCTCCATGTACACACTGTCCAGGGAGCCTTCCAAAGCTGGGGGCACCGCGAAACCCCCGTCTGAGCGGGAGGCCAAGTTCCTGCAAGTTCGTAACTGCCTTTCCAAAGACTCAAAGGAAGCTACTCAGGCCAACCCGGCCAACAGGCGGACCACGCCAGTCTGAAGTCACGGTTTCGCTGCGAGCAGGTGGGCCGACAGCCCGAGGGACTCCCCGGGGACTGCTCTCCAGGCCGGGGCTCCCCATAAGCCGCCCTCTAAGCTGGGGTTCTCCTGGGGCAGCCAGCTCGGGCCGGGGCTCCCCTGGGGCAGCCAGCTCGGGCAGGGGCTCCCCTGGCACAGCCAGCTCGGGCCGGGGCTCCCCTGGAACAGCCAGCTCGGGCCGGGGCTCCCCCTCGATCTGGAAGAGGAGGCTAATAATTCACTGCCGGAGATGAGAACATTGTCCCCACCCTCAGCCCGGGAAGTGTTTCATGTTAGAACTCAAGACATTTTCCGTTCAAGACCAAGATCTTTCTTTGATCACCCTGGAACCCACCGATAAAACTGCTCCAACTTTTCTCAACCTTCTCTGCATGTGTCTTCGGGATTCTCTGTGTCACTGACAGTTCTTCAATGATGACAAAGACTACCTTTTTTATATATCAATGAAGCAGCATTGGTCTAATTCCTAGCATTTTAATGCCTTCGTATTTTAACATTCTGAATAAAATCAGCGCAGTTTAAATTAAATAGTTTAGCTGCCAAAAGCACAGATTAGAAAATGAACCTCGGTGATTTATGTAAAAAACAACAGCTGAAATAAACGCACAAGGATATTCAAAATTTGTCATGTCCCATTTATGACATATTGTTCAGATTCTTTAATTGTTCTGGGGATTGAAAAGGAACGAGGGCTGAGTAACGAGTACTGGATATCAAAGTTTATTTCCAATAGCACTTTATCTTTTTTTCAAACAAATAGCCCAATGAATGTCTATGCATGTTATTCATGTCCACTTCCAGAAGGTATTTGGTAATGTTCCTCCTGAAAGGTTTAGCCTAACATTTAAGTTCATGGACTTGAAAGCACATTATTGAGCAGGTTAGGGAATTGGCTGAAGAGCAGCAAATAGATAAAGGACATGAAACTGGCAGAATGTGACTATTGGCATCCCACAGGGATCTATGTTGGGGCCTCAACTATTTACTGTGTTCATAATGAGTTAGGTACCATGGGATAGAAAACCATATGTTCAATTTAGTCCATGACATAAAATTGGCCATCCATGTAGAGGAAGCTCAAATGTATGAAGAGATAATGGCAGATTAAGTACATGGAAAAAATATAAGAAATGGATAAACCCCCTGGTCATCTACTTCGGACCTAAAAAGATTTTAGTATTTGGAAAAGGATATTGTCTTAATGATTAAAATGTACCTTAAGTGAGCATCCAAAGATCATGAAAATGTCATGAACAGGTGCAGAAACTAATCAAAAACTTGAATGAAATGCTGACCTTTCTGTCTAGAGGTCTGGACTATAAGGGGTAGAAGTCATGCACAGGCTATACAAACCCCTGGTTAGACCATACCAAAAGTACTGTGTGTGGTCCAGGGCTTCCCTTTCACATCCTAGGGAATGCATATTACAGTTGAACGGAGTGCTGTGTAGGAAGATACCTGGATTCTCGGCATTACATTATGTGGAGATATTACACAAGTCAGGATAAAAGCAAAGTACTATGAATGATGGAAATCCAAAATAAAAACAGCAAATGCTGGAGAAACTCAGCAGGTCTGACAGCAAGTATGAAGAGAGAAACAGAGCTAATGTTTTGAGTCCGATATAACTTCTTCAGAATTGAAGAAGGATTCTGCAGAAGAGTCACACAGGACTTGAAAAGTTAAATCTTTTTCTGTCTCCACACTTGCTGTCAGACCTGCTGAGTTTCACCAGCACTTTATTACACAAAACAGGATTATACTCTTTGGAATTTAGAAACTCAAGCAGTTTATTGGAAGTTCGCAAGATATTAAAGGGAACTGAAACTAATAGAATTGATTGCATATTATGTATTATTGGACTAGACTTATCAAATTGTAGTAAATCAGGTTGGTGAGCTGCAAGTGCAATTAGGCTCAGGGGAAGATGATGTTGTAGCAATAATTTACCTGGCAGGACTGGGTATTAAATATTCCTGGATGCAAAGCAGTTGAGAAGGAAAGGATGCAAAGCAGTTGGGACAGAAAAGAAAGGAACAAAGGAGGGAGGAGGGAAGTATTGATTGAGGGGAATATTACAGTTTTGGAGGGGGATGTCCCGTAGGGTTCAAGGACAAACAGAATCAATTGGTTACACTTAAGAAACAATGAGTGCAATTACACCACTGAATACATATAGAGGGTAAATTTATAGGGAAATTACAGAGGTACAATTATTGATAATAAATGAGGACTTTATAATTATCCTACAGTTATGCAAAACTGGGATAATATAGTGAAGGGCCTAGAAAGCCAAGAGTTTCTGAAATGTGTTCAGAAGAATTTTCTTGACCAGTATGTTTCTGCAGCAATGAAGAAGGACGTATCGATGGATCTGGTTCTAGGGAATGAGGTGAGCTAAGTGGATCAAAAGTTACTTAGGTGAACAATTCAGGAGTGAAGATCATAGTTTCATAGAGTTTAGAAGTGATACAGTCGAATAAAAATAATTAAATGGAGGAGGATCAAATTCAATGAGTTGACAACGATCAGAGCTTGAAAGATGGGCAAGCAAAACTGTATAATGAGCTGCACGTGGAGAGGACACAGTTTAGATGTAGTTGAGGTACATTCTCAAGTAGATGAAATCTAGGGCAAATGAAGTTGGGGCTCCTTGGCTGAAAAAAAGAGATACAGAGTAAGATGAAGCTGAAAAGGATGCATATGATGCAATTAATTTTTCAGGCAACTGAGAACCAGGCTGATATGAAAAAATTCAGAGGTGAAACAATAAAGGAAATAAGAGAAGATAAGAAAATGTAGAAGAGAATGACAGCAAACATAAAAGTCATTCTAAAAGACCTCTATAGCTTTTAAATTTGAAAATGATAATACGATGTGGTGAAGCCAACTTGAGTCAAAAAGGAGATCCACAAATGGAGGCAAGGACAAAGGGTGGAAATTGCACAGGTAATGGACATAAGTTCCAATTCTCTTTAGATACAGGAGTACTGCCAGAGGACTGCTGAATTGCAAATGGTCCAGCCTTGTCCAACAGCAAAGTCAGGATAAACCCACCAACTACAGGTCATACAGTTTAACCCTGATGGAATGAAAGTTTTTAGAAATGATGATCTGGCATATTATTAACAGCAACTTGAATAACTGTGGTTTAATTAGAGAAAGCCAGCATGGATTTGTTAAAGGGAAATCATGTCAAACCAACTTGTTTGTTGATGATGTAACAGATGGGATTGTTTTTGAGTAACACAGTTGTTATGGTCTATAGGAATTGCCAAAAGACATTTGATAAACTGCCATATGATAGGCTTGCCAGCAAAATTAAAATTATGGAATAAAAGGGACAGGGGAAGCATAGATCCAAAATTGGCTAATTGACAAGAAACATAGTGGAGATTAGAAATTGAAATGCCAAATCAATATCTGGAGGAATAAATGATATTTTCCGGTTATGCAGGCGGCAAATCAGGAATAGGTCAAGCTCTCGGAGCCGACACTGGCAGATTAGTGAAAGAATTAGGATTAGACTGCTTTGAAAAAACTCTTCACTGGTTTTCACAAGAAAGGAGCACATGACGACATTTTGTTATAAACACAAAGATTGCAGCAATGTGCTAGGCCTTGAATAGCTTCTCATCACAGTCTTCTTTTAGAAAAATTTGGTGACAGCATATTGAGTACTAATGTGCAATGTTGCAGACATTAAGAGGATTAGGAGAAACTCTGGTCAAAGTCCAATATCAGTGTGCATAAACACAAGGAATGCTTGTAGGCTTCAGCAATTCACTTTACACAATCCATGATTCAAATGTGATCCAAACAGGCAGGAAATTTCAGATGATAAAATTTCAGTAAATATCTTCTCTAAATTGTACGAGGAGCAGACTATCAGGAACATTCCCAGAACATACAGAAATTTCAGTTGCGTATCAAGTCTCTGTCCATAAGACCGTATGATATAGGAGCAGAATTAGGCCATTCGGTCCACCAACTCTGCTCCATCATTTGATCATGGCTGATGAGATTCTCAACCCCATTCTCCTGCCTTCTCTCCATACCTTTTGATCTCCTAACTAATCAAGGGCCTATCTATCTCTGTCTTAAATACCCTTGATGACTTGGCCTCCACAGCACTCTACGGCAATGAGTTCCACAGATTAACCACTCCCTGGCTGAAGAAATTTCTCCCCATTTCAGCTCTAAAGGGTCATCCCTTCACTCTGAGGCTGTGCCCTCAGGTCCTAGTCTCTCTTACTATTGGAAACATCTTCTCCATGTCTGCTCTATCCAGGCTTGTCAGTGTTCTGTAAGTTTCAGTGAGATTCCCCTCATCCTTCTAAACTCCACTGAGTACAGACCCAGAGTCCTCAACTGCTTCATCTCCAGGATCATTCTCGTGAATGTCCTTTGGACCCCCTCCAATGCCAGCATGACCTTCCTTGGATACAGGGCCCAAAACCGCTCACAATATTCCACACGTGGTCTGACCAGAGCCTTATACAGCTTCAGCAATACACCTGTGTTCTTGTATTCTAGCTAATATTGCATTTGCCTTCCTAACTGCCAAATGAACCTGCATGTCAACGTTAAGAAAATCCTGAACCAGGACTCCTAAATTCCTTTGTGCTTCAGATTTCTGAAGTCGCTCCCTATTTAGAAAATAGTTTACATTTCTATTTTTACTACCAAAGTACATAACTTCACACTTTCCCACTTTCCAGATGGATTGTAATCCATCTGCCATTTTTTTGCCCACTCTTCTAATCTAACTAAGTCCTTCTGCAGCCTGCCCGCTTCCTCAGTACTACCTGTCCCTCCACCTATCTTTGCCACCTGAAAACTTAAAAACATTGCTTTCAGGTCCTTCATCCAGATTGCTAATGTATAACATGATTAGTTGTGGTCCCAACACTGACCCCAAAAGGAACTGCACTAGTCACCAGCTGCCATCTTGAAAAAGACCTCTTTATCCACACTCTGTGCCTTCTACCAGTCAGCCAATCCTCTATCAATGTCAGTATATTTCTCCTAATACCAGGGATTTTTATTTTATTCAGCAGACTCCTGTGTGGCACCTTGTAATAGGCCTTCTGGTAATCCAAATAGTTCACATACACTACCTCTCCTTTGTCGAACTTGCTCATTACATCCTCAGAGAATTCCATCAGAATTGTCAGGCATAACCACCCTTGATGAAGCCATGCTAACTCAGCCTTATTTTACCATGCACTTCCAAGTACTCTGCAATCTCATCCTTAATAATGGACTCTACATGCTTACCAACAACCAAGGTCAGGCTAACCAGCCTTTGGTTTCTTGTCCTCTGCCTTCCTCTTTTCTGTTACATTAGCCATTTTCCAATCCTGTGGGCCCCTCGCTGACTCCTGTGATTCCACAAAGATCACCACCAATGCCTCTACAATCTCCTCAGCTATCTCTGGGGTTTAGTGCATTTGGTCCAGTGATTTATCCACCTTCAGACCTTTCAGCTTCGCCAG